ATATTACTGTACCGCAGTTGCAAATATATTTTATTATCCGTTCACGGTGGAATCGATCTGATGTCTTCGGTAGAACACAGAAACAAGCAGGCGAGCATAAATAAACAAAGCAATTGTAGGAGGAATACAGCACAATTCCAGTTATTCGAATCGCTTTCTGAATTTTTTAAACAAATTAAGACGGAAACGTAGTGTTGATCAATCAACGTTTTCAGACATTAAAGGGAAAAAAACCTATTCTTTTTAAACTTCGTGCCAATGCTTGAAAACGAAGATGGAAGTTTTTCAAGAGAATCAATGAAGGCACTAGCAAACAAAAATTTAGAAGATGTCGTTTTCAAGTGGTACCCAATCTCGTGTCCGATTCTTTGTGATCTTAGCTTTTTCACAAAATGATCAGAAGCTAGGTTATTCAGCATTTAAAGCAAATAAGGGCTGGCTAAGAAATTTGAAGTGCAGCCACGGTGTCAGCCAATCAACTTACTTTGGCATTCATCAAGCAATGATTTTCAGCATTTGTAAGTACTGCACAGTACGCTATATAACATGAACGTAAAAGTTTTGTCTTTTCGTATTAACTACAAACCCTCTTTTTATCTTTAAAAACACTTTTTTCTCCCGTTTTTAACATACATTACATACAGTAATTAATTAGGATGGATGTACGTACACCCTTCCTTCGGAAAAAAACCAGCTAGCCGAATTTTTGATTATCCGAAGGAGATCCGGTCCCAAATGATTCGGATAATTTGGGTTCTACAAGAAAGTAATAAACGGACAATTGTGAGTTGCATTTGTTCATAAAAGTCCACAACTCAAATGATAACCATGACCAATACCGAAACCTAAAATGAATGTTCTAGTGACTGATACGACAAAAAGAATGGTATTTTACTCGCATACCAAACTCCAATGTGAGCGCTAATATACAACTTAAAAGTAAGATCCCGGAAAAATATCATTGCAATATGGCGCGAGACGGTATTTTACTGACTTACAAAGGTGAAAAAAACGCCATGGCTCGTTAACCTCTCACAGAACATACAGCAAATAAACTCCAGTGAGAAATTCCTGACATGACAATTTTTCCAGTATTAACTCTCTAGCAAGCAATTTGCCGAGCAATTTCGCTTCTGAGTTTGTCGATATCTCCCACTAAACACCATAAGCAATACAGGAAAAAAGAAAAAATGTTACACATTTTTTGTTTTCCAAACGTAGCACGAAGTCGTATTTTTTTCAAACAGATATTTTCTCTGAAAGTAAAAATCTTTTTGCGCAGTGTACAAATTTGCTCCACAGTGTTACTTAGAAGTGTTGTAAAAAAGAAGGAACTGAAGATTCAAAATTCCTTCATATTTATTTCTTACAAGAAGTAGTATTGTAATTTAAATTACGTGTTTTCCTGAAAATATATTTTTTTTCTCTTCTACACGATAATAATGTTAATTTTTCTCCTGTCCCAGTTATTTTCTCGTTTCTTACGAGGCAGTCTTTAACGGACAGCAGGAAGTGCTGCTTTTCTTAACGCCCGTAACTTGTTTTAATGATAAACTGTATTAAAATATAATTCAAAACTTTTCAGTTTTAGTATATAAGACTTTTATATCGATGGGAAAATACAAGATTCTGGCTCCAACTGTTAAACCAGAAGCGTTATTTTATTTGAAACTCTGAAGAGAATTTTCTAGGAGAATATATTAGAAGATAATCCAGAACTTTCTCAAATGTGGCATTTAAAAACATGTATGTGATTGAGAACAACAAATTACATTTCGAAATTTTAAATATGTTCCTGGAATTATGCTAAATACAACAAGAATAAACTCACTCTGAAAATAAACTCTAGTTATGAAATAATTACACTGATGTTTGTGAAAATTACGGCACCATAAAGGAATTACGCAATTTGAACCTAGCTTACAGGAAATGTAAAGCGACGCAAGACATATAAATTAGTAGAATTACAGAGCGGTTACGCATGCGCGAAATGAGAATCGACTTAAATATAAAAATGACTGTGAAGTTGCTTTGAAATTTATTTATCATCCTTTGTCTGTGATGAGTATTCAGAGGTTAATATGCCTAAGTCAGTAGAGGAGACGACCATACCAACAACTAACAGAGTTCGAACAAGAACGCATCTTCGGTATGCGAGAGGGTGGACTTTCATAGCGAGCAATCACAGCCCGCACGCAGCGTAACAGTGATGCGAGTATTAAGCGCAGGTAACCGGTTGACGGAAAGGATCAGGATCAAGATCCGATTATTAGATTCAATTCATACCGTCCTATCTGTCTTCTCTCGTCTACCGTTCTATCTGTCTAAATTGTTTTTAAATTATTAGTCAACCTCGTCAAGCACCATCTCCGTAGAACTAATTTTATCAGCAACTCCCAGCAATATTGCTTTCAAACTGGAAGATCTACACTGCATGCATTATCTAATGTTAAGAAAACTTTATTAACCAGTAGAATAAATGGCGAACGTACAGCATTTATCAGTGTAGACCTCAAGGGTGCATTTGATAGTTCGTGGTGGCCGGCTATTATCCAAGCTGTTAAAAAAGCAAAGTGTCCTATCAACTTATACAACACTTTATTATAGAACATTACTTTCAGCAATATACTTAAAGCTCTTGGCCTAGTCATAAAAAATTCTAGCATGTGCAGATGATATTGCCCTCCTTGTTTCAGGAAATACGTATGAAGAATGTCTAGTCTTTCTATTAGTCCATGAAAGAATGGTGCCCACTATTTTCAGGATTCCGTGCGCACGGGCTGAATACATGGAAGTTTTTGTAGCTTTTCTCATGTGTAACATGCATAAGAACCGGTTTCCTTTAGAAATTCCTCCACGGAGAATCTCTTCACTTAGGTAGATAGCCTGAGTATGCTTTGCCTCAATTTCAATAAACTGAACCAACCACGACTTTCAAAAACAATACCCACTTATGGACGCCATATTTACTTCATCTCTTTCCTGGAAAGATATAAAGAATATTACATTACGTCGCTGTTGATGAAATTTGTGACCTATGATCATGATCGCAGATGACGAATCGACTGACAAAGGTTTCTTTATTTACTCTCAAAGATTCTTTGTTTTAAAACACGGTCGGTGCCTGTCTCAGACATATTGGATTTACTGCATATTCTGAAAAATATAGTGTTAATACATTTGCTGAGAAGTATCTCGCCACTTTGGCGACATATCGCAAAGCTGGCAGTGGTTTTGGAGACTAATCTGTGTTGGCAGATTTGGCGATATTTAAGTCCGGTCTGTGTAATTACTAATGTAGCAGCTAATCTATTTAAAAAAACTCTAATTGATTTCATATGTAACTGTAACCCTATTCTACCCTAAGCCTTCCATCAATTTTGAGTAGCAGAAAATACTAGAAATATCTCGGCGGCAGACTAAAAACTATAACACTAACAGTTAGTTCACCAGTATGGACTCACGTTACCGAAAATGATATAAACAAGTTTCTTCGAATTAATCAAACGGGTATCTCATTTCATTAGAAACAAAATTTACATTAAGACCTCAGAATCGACTACGTAAGAGAACCTTAGATAAACCCAATGAAAACTTTAACAGTAAAGCCCAAAACAATCAATCATACAGGACAGGACAGGAAAAAGCGCAGGGGACACCACGACATCGTCATAGACAAAAATGGTATTGCCCCACTGCACTAACCTTTTCTGGCATTTATTAAGACAAAAGATTACATTTCAAGTCATTACATTACGCAGTTGACATAATAAATTACATTAAAGTAAAAAGTTATTTACATAGGAAGAACAATTATAAAGATAAACTGGGGTACAGGAATCAATAAGGAGGTAACATGTTACAGTTAATTAGGTGTTGTAGTTTGAAATTTGTTGGTGTGCTTGGAGGAATGCGTTAGCATTTGTGAAGATGGATGTGATGTGAGCTATAATGCTATGTTATTTTTGTGTTGATGGTATCGTTGTCTGATTGTGCACAGATTTTGCAGAGTTTACTTTGGACAGAGTTCGTTATGTATAGAGTTCAATGTGCACAGAATTGTGCGCAGCAGCATGGAGAGCACTTTGTATAATGAGCATCAGATAATAGTGTAAAGTACAAAGTACTGCGCTTTGGCAGTTTGAAGGCACTGGTAGTTGATAATCATCACTCACATAAGTAGTGATGACATAGGATAGGAGCACTCCCTGTTGAATATCGTATTTGAATCATATAAGTACCTTAGATTATTTTCATGGAAAGTTAAATGGTGAAGCTGCAGATTAGGTGTCGTTCTTCAGTGGAGGTGAGCAAACAGTCATGATTCTTTGGACAGCTGTGTGGTGGCATTTTGATTGCTAAATATCCATCATTACGTCCGTTTTGTTATTTATGAGTGGCATAGTTCTCTACCTTGTTGTTGTAGCTTGTCTATGATTAGTTTAATGTTTTTGTAGGTGTGTTGATGGTTGATTAGGAATCTTTTAAATTCCATTCCCACTTGAGTAGGGTGTTTGACGTGTAGGTTGGCAGTTAGTTAATCAATCATTCAGGACAGGACAGGAAAAAGTGCAGGGGGCACCACGACATCGTCATAGACAAAAATGGTATTGCCCTACCGCACTAACCTTTTCAGGCATTTATTAAGACAAAAGATTATAAGTCATTACATTACGCAGTTGACATAATAAATTACATTAAAGTAAAAAGTTATTTACATAGGAAGAACAATTATAAAGATAAACTGGGGCTACAGGTAATCGAGGTACAGATATATTGGTATACAGGAATCAATATGGAGATAACATGTTACAATTAATTATTAGGTGTGGCAGTTTGGCATTTGTTGGTGTGCTTGGAGGAATGCCTTAGCATTTGGGAAGATGGCTATGATGTGAGCTATAATGCTATGTTATTTTTGTGTTGGTGGTATCGTTGTCTGATTGTGCACAGATTTTGCAGAGTTTACTTTGGACAGAGTTCGTTATGCATAGAGTTCAATGTGCACAGAATTGTGCGCAGCAGCATGGAGAGCACTTTGTATAATGAGCATCAGGTAATAGTGTAAAGTTCAAAGTACTGCGTTTTGGCAGTTTGAAGGCACTGGTAGTTGATAATCATCACTCACATAAGTAGTGATGACTTAGGACAGGAGCACTCCCTGTTGAATATCGTATTTGAATCATATAAGTACCTTAGATTGTTTCCATGGAAAGTTAAATGGTGAAACTGCAGATTAGGTGTCGTTCTTCAGTGGAGGTGAGCAAAAACAGTCATGATTCTTTGGACAGCTGTGTGGTGGCATTTTGATTGCTAAATATCCATCATTACGTCCGTTTTGTTATTTATGAGTGGCATAGTTCTCTACCTTGTTGTTGTAGCTTGTCTATGATTAGTTTAATGTTTTTGTAGGTGTGTTGATGGTTGATTAGGAATCTTTTAAATTCCATTCCCACTTGAGTAGGGTGTTTGACGTGTAGGTTGGCAGTCAGTGAATCAATCATACAGCAGTTTTCCCAGAAATCCTAAATTATATCTTAAAAGATGGCTATTCTAGCCAGATATTTATAGCCCCCCACTCTTCTTATACTAAGCACAAAATTTAATGTCCCAGCTGAACTGCATTGCGCGCTGCGCAACGAACGAGAAGATGGAGGGTTCGAATCCTCGTGGAATCTGCATCACGGAAAAAAGTTTATTTCACGACTTCATTAGCAAAATTAACATCCTGCATCATTCTAATTATTTTTTAACTCATTTCTACATTTTTTACATCTAGATTGAGCATTTAAAACTCTTTTTCCGACAACGGTTGTGAAAATCTGCTGTCATCTTTATAACCAATATAGTGAAGCATTCGTGGATTTTTTTTTTTTTTTTGTTAGTATGAACTCGACTACGAGACATTTTTATTAGCAGGCCCATTGTGGAATTAATTCAGGAAGGCAGGAAAGTATTGCTATTGCAGCAGAAGAATTGAGCGTGGTCAACGTGAGTTCGGAGTACTGAGTTTCTCCGGGTTAGCTTCGCTCTTTATATGCGCTTTGCATTGCATTGTGTTTAACGTTATTTTAAAGTGTAACTACTTATTGTATTCTGTTGTACTGTGAACAGCTGTATGACTATTTTGTGGAAAGTTCTAGAACTCTGAAACGTTCGGTTTGATTAAATAAATTTTAAGAGCTGTATGACTATTTTGTGAAAAGTTCCAGAACTCTGAAACGTTCGCTTTGATTAAATAAATTTTATCAACTTATCATCGGAAATATGTGCATTTTACGAACCCGTACGCACGCAGTATTATTTTTCGATGATTTATACGAAATCGGTATGCATTTAAAATGATATATTACAATTAAGATATTATTATTAGTAACTTGATTATTTCTTTTCCTGCTGCTTACAAATGAGCCTGATTAATTAAATATAAAAGTAAATCTTTTAATTATAGTTAAGCCTAATATTGTAACCTGCATAAGTTGTTATTTAATTCTATCAAATGTAACTTAAAAATTCGTAAAAATTAGCGTACACTTTGGGTATGATGGCTTTTTAAAGTATTCTTTAGAAAACTTATTTGCCAAACTGAGGTTCATTATACAGTCAGTCATAGAAGGCACATGCCAATGCCTGAGCTTCAAAACCATTGAAAAGCTAGTGTTATTTCTTTTACTAAATCTGCAAAATAGAAACTATTCAACCTGTCCTTCAAAAGCCCTGCTATTCGAAAATATGGTTAGAATATAACTGAGGTTCAAGAACAGCCTTCCTTGAAAAAATTCCTTAGAAGAATAAAAGTCTTTTTTTTTTTTTTTTTTTTTGGCAAAAGTTGCTCTTCACAATTAATTCAAGAAATAAAATCCTTTGTACCAGTATAGGAATGGTATTCTATAAACGATATTTGCTTTGTAAGTATCTGAAAAATAACTTTCATTTGAAGTCTTCTAGAATTTGCGCACACACGAAAAAAAGGGGTGGACAATTCTATATCTCCCGCTCTACAGGGTCCAGGGTCGATGGTCTGGTCTGGTCTGTAAACGCAGTGTTTTTTAAGTGAAAGTTTCCGCCTACATGTTTCAACGGAAATATCCATTTTGACCGGTATCGAATGGAATTTAACGACGTCTTTGCGTGATATCTGTACGTAAGGACACAATAAAATACTCTTTTCCTTTATTTTCCTTTAAAAAAATTAGAAACCTGCTTTAAAATGAATTCTGAAGAAAATTTTTCGTGGTGTTTGTACATACGTACGTATCTCACATAACTCAAAAAACGAGTAGCCTCAGAACGTTGAAATGTTGTATATAGAACTACTATAACATGTAGATGTGCACCTCGTATTTTGGTTGCAATCGGCCGCGCCAAACGTATATAAATGTATTTATATATCCACTCTGTTTCCCGGCTCAGTAATCTCAATTGCTTTACTCTTATATATTTGTAAATTGTACATTTTTTGCTTAAAAATTATTAATTATGTTTTTATCTTCCGGTTGAGACTTTTATGCCTTTACTAATTTTGTATGCAATATTTTTAGAATTATCAACAATTTTAAAGTTGTTCAATTTCCGCTAAGCCTAATAATTTTTCTGATGGCGGTCATTGCTTGTTTACATTTGAAACAGCAGAGTAGTGGATTTGTTGCCAATCTAGAGAAACGTAGCTTCGCAAAAACAAAGATAACGCCTTCATTTATTATTTAAATCATGCTTAATCCTTTCTGGAGTTTTTGCGAGGAAATAAGTGTTTAAGATTTACTTCATAATTTTTAATACAGATATTTTGACTTTTTATGTATTTTTGCCTTCTCGCGAAGTGAGAACTGAATTAGTTGAATGAGAAATACTGAATTGTCTGTGAAAAACTGTTTTTTTTTTTTTTTTTTTTTTTTTTTTTTTTTTTTTTTTTGTAATAGAACACGTGGCAATGATTATATAATTCTATTCTTTAAATGATATAAATTTTGTGCATTATGAGTTATAATATGAACAAAATATATAAGTTGACTGTTATATAATTGTTGGATTATATAACATTTAACTTAGTTTCCGTTATATAAGTTAACTGTTATATAATTATTAATACTGTTAAGTGAACCTAGCGCCAGAGTGTCGCTATAGTAAATAAATACTAGATTGAATTTTAAGGAATGCATTTATTCAATTGTGGTTTATGCACTGTCGGCGAAGTAGATTTATTTCAATCCAATAAGTTTAAATGAAATGCAAGAAAAAATGCGTATAATTTAATATTCCAATTTAATATTCCAGTACAAGGAAGTCATGTGGTGTACACATCAGATTTTTTTTCATTGCAGGAGAGCGGGAAAAAGTCATCGCTTATACTTTCAATATTTTTAACAAATTGCGTAAGCCACATGTGGTGTTATTATCGCTTATAACAAATATGGCAAATTTCAAAACGCGCCAATGTGTAAATTCAGGCATTAAGAGGATGTTTAAAATTTTATAGGTTATAATTCAAATTTTTTGTCGAAAAATTAATAAAAATTATTTTAAAATAACCCAAAAAAATAAATCAAAAAATAACCGAATTTTATTTGGAATGAACGTAGCTTTCAAGATGTGAAAGGAAGAATAAAATAAGTTTGATAAAAGAGAAATATTAACAAATATTTAATTAACACTAAGGAGCTAAAATTTGGAGAGCTAAGTTTTCAGAATCTTCTCGTGCGATTTTTACAAAACTTAACAGTTTGGCGTCATTTGAGTCGTAGAATCGAAATATGGAAAAGAAATGGTATGTTATTTCAGAAAAATTCCGATTTTGTGTCAAAATACCTATATTAGAAAAATTTAAACAAATTTAAATTCTTAACAAATACGTATAAAAGTAAAAGTAAAAAAGCAAATTTAAATTCTAAAAAAAAGGAAAAAAGCCAAAATAATTTTAAAATATGCAAACATGTAAAAGATTTAATTCTCGAACTAATCTACAACATCATGATATATATAAATGTAATGCATATCCTAAGTCGAGCTTTCGAGACATGAAAAACGTAAGCTGAATTTCGTCAATCGCCCCAGTAGAACGTGAGATACAGAACTGTCCCCTTTTTGTGTGCAGTGCACTATAACGTAAATTCTTACACAAAAGTCTAAAATATAATTGCTTTAAAAAGGTTACTTTATTAATTGAATATAATAATTTAATGATTAATTTATTTGGTATTCATATCAAATGAAAGTTCAGTGCGACAACAATTAGTCTCCATCTAAACTATTAAAATTATTCCGCTTAAGAGAGGCGAAGATTCATTTTCCTACGAAAGGCATTCACCGCTTTTATTTGAAATCAGAATCACACGAAGACTATAAACTTTGTCAACTATCCAAATGTAATTCTTCTGTTCATTAGCGAATTCATACATTTCTTTACAAGTCGAATACCTGTGACTTGTAATTTTAGTTCCTTAGTGTAACATTCCATGCATCCTTTATCTCATCTTAATTCGTTTATAATCTGAATGCATATTCACAGGAGGATGTGCACCCATTGACAGTGGCAGCATCGTCGCAAGGAATTGTAGTTAAGGACATTGGTTTTCACAATTCAAAAAATGTAGAACTGCTGTGCTGTTTATGTTGTGAGGCAGAAATTTCGAATTGCATAGTATGTATTAGGTTTCAGTTTGCAATTATATCTCCCAATTACCTGTAACCATTTCAAATTAGGAAAACATTATTTCATCAGATGACTGCAATTTCCCGCAGTGAATGCGGAAAGTTTTCTCTCGTACACCCCCGAATGTCAGATGCAGTTCTACTTATTTTATTTCTATATCGTATAAATAAATTAGTGTTTAGTTATAATGAGTTCAATTTTATTGAAAAGAACAGCAAAGTGCACTCTCGGAGCGACCACCTAGTACAACCGTTTTCAAAGAAAGCAACATTTCGGAGACTGTAAATTGATATTGGTATTAAACATAACCTCCCTAAAGAGACCACCTCTATAGAAGACCAAGCAGTCTGAAATCCTGGGTGATAGTCACAGTTTCTCTTACTGCGAAATTATCGCATGACTATTGTAAAGATCGTGACTTGTAAAGATCATGACTTGTGAAGATCGTAACTTAAAGAGAACGTGAAATATAAATAGGACAAGAACTTGCATTTTTCGAGGTGGCAACAAGAAGAGGATTCGAAAGATTTTTATATATATTTTTGTTTTATAGAGAGTTGAGGATTTTGAATATTTTAATAGTTGTAAGAGTTTTGAACTGTAGTAGTTAAGAGTTAAAAATTTTAATAGTTTAGAGCTGCTGCATTAATTTTTTTGGTTCTGTTTTAAAATTCAAATAAAAGTATTTTAATAGTAAATAAAAGTATTAGCTTTATTCTTCCTACAAGATTCAATATTCATTATATTGAAATAAGCTAAAAGGATCATTACTATTATTCAATAGTATAAACACTGTTCGCTACTGCTAGGTATTTTCTTTCCATTTAAAAATTTAAAAATTTAATTTAAAATTAAATTTATGTAATTTAAAAAAATCCGATATTTCATAATATCGGATTTAAATGTAATTAAAAAAATCCGATATTTCATACACGACTTACTTGTACGGAATATTCAATTATACGCATTTTTTCCTCCCTTTCATTTAAACTTATTTCCTCGAATTTCATTGCAGATATATTTCTCATTCAATTAAATTCATTTCTCACTTCGCGACAAGGCAAAATTACATAAAAACTCAAAATATCTAAATTAAAAATTGAAAGGTGCTGAAAAGCATAAAACACCAAATCCAGTTAAAAACGTTTTTTTTACAATTGGAATTAGTTTCTACGCAAAAACAAGCAATTCGGCCAGCGGGCAAGAAGACAGATTTTTCGGTGCACAAAACTGAAAGTTTAATTTTGATATCACTCGGAGAAAAGTCACTATAAGCTTAGAAACTCAATTTATTGTGGATGCTATGCCGAATCAAAATATATGAGATAATGTGATAACTTAAATGGTAATTCCAGAATCGGTTAAGCATAATTTAATTCGCAATAATAAAAAAAAGTTACTTTGTTGTTGCGAAGCTTACTCTCTCTTGATTGGCAACATGTCCACTATTCTGCTAGGTTTCAAATGTAAACATATATGGCTGCTATGATGAAAAAATTACGCTTAGCCCGCACTTAAACAACTGTTCAATTGTTGATAATTTTGCAACTATAACATGCAGGTTAACTAAAGGCATAAAAACTTTAACCGGAAAATTAAAACAACATAATTCAATCATTTTAAAGCAGAAAATTTACAAACATGTAAGAATAAAGAAACTGAACTCATTGAGCCGAGTAACAGAGTGGGTACATATATATAAATTCAAAATAAAGTAATTAAAAGTAAATTGAAAACCTATAACCTCTCTCTCTCTCTTCTCTCTCTTCTCTCTCTCTCTTTCTCTCCCTCTTTCTCTCTCTCTCTCTCTCTCTTCTCTCCCTCTCCTCTCTTTCTCTCACACACACACACACACACCACACACACACACACACACACACACACACACACACTAAGCTTTAAGCTCCTCTCTGAAGCTACACTTTCTTTTTTGTTGGCAAAATTTCTTTGCGTTTTAACTGGAGATTTTACTCCTTAAAATGCATTTTTGCTTCACTAATAATCTATATGTTACCGTGAAAGACCGAAATTGGAGAATGTAGACTTTCACCGGAGAATCTCAACATTCACCAAATGCGTCGGTGAAAGACCGAACATTTCCCTACATTCTTGTATATTCGGACCCTCACCGGTGTATGTCGACAATCACAGATATGCTGTGGTGAAAGTCGAAAAGAGAGGTCATAAAGTGCCATAATAGTAAGTTGTCGCAATATATAGGATTTGAATGACATAATTTAATAAGTTTTTTATTACAGTTATTTTATTTTCTCATTTAGAACGTACTGTATAATTAGGCAAGTTTTTAACTGCTATTATTTTCCTTTCTCATTTTGAATGTATTGTGTGTTTTAGGTTCTCATGTTCTTAAGTTCTTATTTCAAGTGCTTTTATTCGCGACTGAATTACGGAAAAGAAAATATAATATTGTTATATGTTCAACATTCACCATTAGTACATGGTGAATGTCGACATTGACCGGTGTAAGTCAGAAATAAGAGTATTTGGAAAATATTTCGGACATACACCAAGAGACTATGTGAATGTTGACATTCACCGGTGAAAGTCGACATTCTCCAGATTTCGGTGTTTCACCGTAACATATACACAATGCAGTTGCGGCCGATTGCAATCCCAAAGGCAGGCGCACAACTACATGTTATACTAGTCCTATATACAAAATTTCAACGTTCTGAGGCTACTCGGTTTGGAGTTATGCGAGGTATTTACTCACAGATGTGACGAAAAAATCTCTTCTGAATTCATTTTAAATCCTTACGTACATACGTCATGCAAAAACACTGTTCAAATAGAATGGAGAGTGATCAAAATGTATATTTTCTTTGAAATATGGTATGCAGAATTTTTCAAGGTAGTAAAAATAAGAAACATATGAAAATTATTTTAATCGAAGGCTCGGATAATGCTCATCATCTATGCTGACATTCACGTATTTCAATGTTGCATTTGCACTTAAATAATAATATTCTGCAGAACCAAAATCTTCCTTTCGTTAGATTTGATTTATATGTGGGAAAATACTTTCATCGCTTAATATTGTTCATAAATCATTACACTTTGATTTGGCATATATGTCTTACCTGTTAATTAATCAAGTATTACTTTCTTAGGCATCTACCTGACGGTTGTGATGGCCATCACGTCCATTTCTGTCGTAGTCACGGTTGTGGTCCTCAACTTCCATTATCGTGGTCCCAGCAGAAAGGAGGTGCCCCCCTACCTCAGGGAACTCATCCTCCAAAGATTCGGTTCTTGTTCCTGCTTCCGTTCCCCTTCTAAGAAGGTCAAGAGAAACGGAAATGCTTATGATTTGCCACCTACATTCAGAGTATGTACTTACTGTTTTTTGCTTTTCTAATTTTCTTCTCTCCTTTAGTTTCTTATACAGGGTGATTCTAAATTGTTTTTACAAACTAAGAGAGGTGATAGTACTCATTCAGATGAGCTGTAATTACCATAGAACATATGGCTACGTTCCACTCAGAGAGACAGAAAAAAAAGAATATTAGAATTCCTCAGTTCAGCTCATGGCGTCCGCTGGTAACTATGCTGATAAAGGCTAGATATAGGCTGGCTGCCATAGGCAAACGGTGCTGGACAACTAACTCTGTGGTCCGACAGGGTGGAATTACCAGAACCGACCATTTATGGAAGGAGACCCAGGGTTCTTCCAGATCACTGGCTAGACTTGTGTCTAGACAGCTTCGGCCTGCAGAGCAAATAATCAGCCTTCACATAGATTAGAACCATCCTTTATTCGGTGGTTGGCTCTGGCTCGGCAGGGACCATATGGTACTATCACATCCGTCCCAAAGCTGTGGAGACGTTATATCGTAGATACGTCGGTCGTTCGAGGGGGTTGGTCTCCCCTCGGTCGATGCTGAGGGGCGACATTCGTCTCTTGTAATAATTTCTACTTTTCTAGTATAGTCAGTTGAGAGGAGTGGTGACCTTCTCTTCTGATCAATCTCATAAACACGGAGCTGGCCCTTTCGTCCTTGCCTTAGTGCCGTGGATGTCGTCAGCTCCCTCTCTTATTCGCATTGGGCTTTCGCCCCTCTGCACCGATCGGGGGGTAGTGTCCCCTCAAGCGGCCATTAGCGGTAGAGACGATTGACCGTGATATGGGTCGCTTCTTACCATATGACCTAGGACAGGGAGTCTATCAGTTGGTGTTCTGTGTCTGTAACGCTAATAAAGAATCGATGCAGAGTGAAGGTATACTATTTTGTTTTCCTATGCGAATACATAATACGATTTTCGATTCCTTTAAGAAATTTTATTTCATAAAATCATTTGGAGAAAGTGCATGAATCATTTTAAAGTGCATATTTCTGAAGTTTGATCACAAAATTTATTATTGGCATAGAATTTATTATTATTTATTATTAATAAAAATTTGTTATTGGCACTTTTTATGAAGATTTACAATTTTTCTTCAAAAAACAGAGACTGGGCCTTTTGGACTCGGCCCGCGGGCTCGTGTAACTCATATGAGAGTGTGTTCCCACTTTAAATCCAAACAAACACTACCTCTAGATCATCTGGCTTAGGTAATATTGTCTCGACTTTCAATTATCAAAATGTCAGGTTGATCATTGCTTTAAGTAATAAAAGGGTGAAGTCTTAATTAAAGCACAAGTGGCGGCAACTTTCATCAGAGACAATAAAATTAGTTTACAAATTTGTTTCTCAGAAGGTAGAATTTCGTAAACACTACTGTCGTAGATTCGTTAATTGTAGTTTTGAGAAACTATTGCACATCTAAAGAATTGAAACTGTCCAGAGACCTCATGTTGGTTTATCCAATTATGGCAAAGCACTCGAGAGCTATCTGCCAAAGGAGAGAAATGCCTTTGTGGAGGTATTTATGAGGGAAACGGGCTCCTATACACGTTACGGATGGGGCTAGAGACCTCAGGAAAATGAGACGGAATATTTCCTTTCGGTATTATTTGATTATGATGGAAGAATCATAAAAGTGAACAATTTGTTAAGCCCTAATTAATTAAAAAAAACTTATACTATATGTTTGTACAATTCTGAATGCTCAATGCTTGAACTAAGATTTAAATGTACACTGCGCAAAAAAAAGGGGGGGACAATTCTATACCTTCCTTTCTGCTGGCCCGATTGAAGAAATTCAAATTGCGTTTTTCATGTCTCGAAAGCGCGAATCAGGATATATATTAGATTCATACATAGTATTGTTCTAACATAGGTATTTTGGCTTATATTGAACTTTTTCTGATATAACATACCATTTTTTTTTTTTTTTTTTTTTTTTACATTTCGATTCTACGACTCAATATATGCCCAAATTTCAAATTTTGTAAACTTTGCTGAGAAACTCACCGAAAAATTTATCTTGCCTAACTTTTTTCAGTTTGCGCTAATTCACTTGGCGTACTTCTTCATTTATAGCAACCTATTTTCCTTTCCTTTTTTTCATTGTACACGAGCGAAAAAAAAAGTTCACGTTCATTACTTTCAAATAATTGTAACAAAGTACGTAAAAGCGCATTTGGCGTTATTATCGCTCATAACAAATATGCCAAACTTCAAAACGCGCCAAAATGTAAATTCACGTGTATCTCAGGAAATTTTGAATAAAAACACGAATTTTTTTTTTAAGTGTGCTTAGAGAATTACATCTACTTTAGAACCACAAAAGTTTTATAGGTTCTAATAAAAATTTCGAAATTTTTTTGAAACATTCAAAAAATACAAATTTTAGAAATAAATCAAAAAAATTTACCAATTATATTTGGATTAAGCCTAACCTTCGAATTCTGAAGAAGGAATTAAGTAACAAAAAAGAGATTAATAAATATATATCAAATTCAGTTAACACCGAGGATCTAAAATTTAGAGAACTAATTTTTCGAAAACTACTCTTGCGATTTTTACAAAACTTCGCAGTTTGATATAATTTGAATCCTAAAATCAAAATATGGAAAGAAACTGATGTATCATTTCAGAAAAAGTCCGATTTTTGTCAAAATACCTGTATTAGAGCAATGCTATATTTAAATCTAATACATATCCTAAGTCGCTCTTTCGAGACATCAAAAACGCAAGTTGAATTTCGGCATAAATTTCCAAGTAGCTGGATTCGCTCTGTGGGTACACTTTCAAGTAAGTAAAATCTTCTCAAAAATGGACCTAGACAGATCAAATGTTAGAATGATTGGTAAGAAGCATCGAACTTGCTTAGCAATATTTTTGTATAAAACATACTTACATGATTGTTTAGAAAGATTTCCAATCAAGGGCTTACTTAATATGCATAACTATTTAACTTTCCTTTTTATTAATAGGCCGAATCTTTTCGTCTGACCATCGACAGCCTTCACGAAGAGCTAAAAGAGATGAATTCGGATCTCTCGTGCAACGAATCTGGGATGTCTGCCAGTGGACACAACGTTGGCGATCTATCTACCAACAAGCGCCGTATGCCAACAAACAAATCCCAAGTCAATGGTTCATCCCCAGGAGGAGGTTGTGGAGGACCGGGCGGAACACAAGTGCAAGAAGAAATTCTGAGGACACTCAAATACCTTTTATATCGACAGGAACAAGAAGATTACCGTGTGAGGGTGGTCAACGAATGGAGGCAGATGGCGCTAGTAATTGATCGCATCCTGTTCTGGATATTCTTTGTCGTGACGGTTGTATCTTCCTTGTCGTTCTTGGTCATCGTACCTTTGCACAGGCGCGGCTTGCAGTTTACTTAAACTGTTACTTTACAAGAGCGAAAGAACAAAGAAGAAATCAAATGGCTATTTTAATTGACGTCCATATAAGTAAATGCTCACCAAATGCAAGAAGAAAATTTCAAATCTTGCGCCAAGGCAGTAACTGAAAGCAGTTCTTTCGTAAGCCAAATTTCATGGCACAAATAACTCTGGTTCTTTATCTGGTACTGTCAAACGCCAAATTTAACTCTCTGTCAATACTATGGAAAGTAACATATATACATAGCATAATTTATCCGTAAGATATCTATGTGACTTTTATTAGTTAAAGAAACGGCTAAAAGGCATCTTCACAAAACTAGTGGGTATTAATATTAATGAAAGTTAGAGAGCTTATTTTGATAGCTGCATTTGCCTGGTGTCAAAGATGAAATTTACGATTTTACATTCTAGTCTCCTATATGTATGTAGTAAAACTGTGTTAGTTTTCAACAAATCATGTAAGTGGCATTTTACTGTATAACTATTCTTCAAGGTGTACAGGGAACCAAAAGGTTAAACATGAAGTTGATTAAAGCGATCAGTGATATATCTTAGCCACTCAACACCAAACTTTTATCACCAAAACTTTGATTTTTTTTTTCAATCTGTTTAGATTTTTTCAATCTGTTTAGAGATCCGAAGTTTTTTTTTTTTTTTCATTAATAGTGAGCTAACCATGGATTGTAGTGATCATAACGCAAAATTCGTTATAATTTTGAGAACTCATTTTTAACTTCATATTAAATATTATTCATAACAAATAAACTGTACAACTATTACTGAAGCTGTGCAGTGCGCCGATAAGATAAACAGGAAGTTGATTAAAGCGATATTGTATCTTAGACATTCAACTGCTTATCACAAAACTTACTTTTTTTTCAATCTGCTTAGAGATCTAAAGGATTTTTTTTAACTTCATAATAAATATTATTCATAACAAATAAACGGTACAACTATTACTGAAGCTGTGCAATGCGCCGAAAAGATAAACAGGAAGTTGATTAAAGCTATCAGTGATATATCGTATCTTAGATATTCAACTCCTTATCACAAAACTTATTTTTCAATCTGTTTAGAGATCTGAAGGTTTTTTTTTTTTTTCAGTAATAAATAAATATTATTCATAACAAATAAACTGTATAATTATTATTTAACCTGTGCAGTGCGCCGAAAAGATAAACAGGAAGTTGATTAAAGTGATCAGTGATATGTTGTATTTTAGATATTCAACTGCTTATCAGAAAACTTATTTTTTTCAAACTGTTTAGAGATTTGAAGTGATTTTTTTTTCGATAATAGTGAGCTAGCTATGGACTGTAGTGAACATAATACAAAATTCGTTATAATTTTAAGAACTAATTTTAAACTTCATAACAAATAAACTATGCAACCAATACCAAATTTTATCACCCTAAAAAGAGCAAACTCACTATGTTTTTATACTTTTCAAAGAAACAGTCTATCTACTGTTGCTGACACGGTAAAAATCTGTGCGATAATTCGTTTTGTACTGTACTACACCTGTGTCAGCATATAACTGTACACTAGAACAATAGTACCGCTGATGCAATTACGAAGATTATGGATATTAGAAAGGAACGCAGACAAAGATTCTTTTCCACTAACTTTCCCAAGAAAAATGTCACATGCTATTAACTCCGAAGACGACCACCAAACACAACATCACTTCGTCACTTGCATCTTATCCACATTTGTGACATATTTTCATTGAAATACTTTTTCAAATGATCTGTGTTTTCGCGGAAACGTATTATTGGAATATTCTCGTGAATGATTTAGATAACGATCTCTGTGTTAATAAAACAGACAACTGCATTCTTGGAATTGATAATCACCTTTTTTCCATTTAACCGCGAAATTAACAATCTACCAAGCTTCTCGAAATAAATCCTTCTAATAGCACAAAATTGGACTTTCTGAAATAACATGCCGATTTTTTTCCATATTTCGATTCTACGACTACAATTTTGCCTAGATATTAAATTTTGTAAATTTTGGTGCGAAATTTATGGAGAAATTTAAAAATTTATCTTGGCGAATTTTTTAAAGTTCGCGCCATTAATAATTTACTTGGAGAACTTAATTTATAATAATCAAGAAAAAGGAAAATAGCAACCTATTTTTCTTTCCTTTTTCTTCATTGTCCACGAACAAAAAAAAAGTCCGCGTTTTTACTTTCAAATAAAACAAAGTGTGTAAACCACATTTTCGTTATTATCGCTTATAATAAATAACTCCAAATTCCAAAATGTAAATTAACATATATCTCAGGAAATTTTGAATAAGAAACTAATTTTTTGTAGGTATGCTTAGAAATATCTTAGAACCTTATCTAATGTTCTTTGTATCAGATAAGATTGAATGTTGTTAACTGCATGATAAAAACTTGATGAAATTTCTTCTACTTAAATGCAATAAAATTAGATATCGCTTGCATAGTTTATTTGTTATGAACTTTTAAAATGTTTTAATTGTGCATGCTTCCATTGTTTTTCCCCCGATTTTTTTTTTTTAGTAAACGTGTAATTATTAAACTAGCTGTAACTTCTAAATTCAAAACTGAAGTTACAGAATATAATTCATTCTTTATTTTCTGTAACTGGATGAGGCTAGCAACCCTTAAACGCAATGCTTTTTAATGAGATAGAATTAGCAGCATGTTTAATCATCTGTTGAGCCAGTTATAATACATGTAATTTTCTATGTGTATAAGATTCATAACAATGACGCATTGTATTAAGTATAAATCAATAAATTAAAGTGCAATATAAATTTAACACTAACAGAACTAGATGCTATATAAAAAAAGCAAACAAATAATAATACCCAAATACGTGGGGTTTTTTTTCCCCTCATATATACACACATACACGTTTTGAGAGCATTTGGGCTACTGCCACTTTCAGCTAAGTCTTCAAAAACAGAATATTTTTAGAATTTCCGATAGACAGTCCCGCGCGGTGGCGACAAACATGTCTTATTCGCTACAGTGATGCCACTCCTAGCTTTGAAATTGCTGCGAACTTTAATAAAAAATTCTTTAACTTTTTACAAAATGTGAAACTAGTAATAAAACAAACTCCAGGTTCCAGGTGCTCATGTTAGGGTGGAGGATTATGTTATTCAAAAAGTGACGACTCTAGATAATACTAGGAGATAACATTTGGTAGCAACAATTAAAGAAGTTTATCGCATTTAAATTATTTAAAAAAATTAAATTATTTTAACTCTTTCGCGTCGAGAAACGAACAAATCTGTTTTCAACAAACATCGAAAACGCCCGTGTTTACGAATTTGTCTTGGAATAGTTTTCCTTTCCCCCTGCGGTTTCATCCATTGTATGCAGTTTCACCTTAGGGCCGGATTGCACCTGCGAACGTCAATAGCTTTCCGTATTTCTCCTTTATTTGCTTCAAAAGAATGATTGACATGACTTTTGACAACTCGCGAAACCAGTGAGCCATACACTAACGTGGAGGGAAAAAGAACTAGGCATAAAATAAACGAGGCGTTGGGGCGGTTTGCCGTTGCCTGAATGAACGGGCGTTACGGGCGACTTCGATGCGAGAGAGTTAAAAAGTCATCGCATTTAAACGATTTGGCGCAAAATGCCGTTTCGAGCCTAATAAGCCTTCTGGGCTAATAACGGCCTTTTGGGCTAGTGAAAAGGGAGATATGTGTAAAAAATGTTTAATGTAATTATGTAGAGGCATTAGGTTGTTTCGATGCTGAAGACGTGAAAAATTAGGAATGCCGCCGAGACTCGAACATCTCGAATACGTGCCGAGTGTGCTGACCATTACAATACGAAGACATGCCAACAAGGCATAAAAAATATCTTATAATTATACAAAGAAAGAATTGCAGTTAATTTCCTACCAGTGAATGTCTGTTTTCTTGCGTATACTTATCACACTTCTTTGCAATTTTTTTAACTAACCGAAAAAACGTTGTGTAACAAACACGCTAATTTTAGCAAAGGTTAGAGTGTATCAGTGTAGAGGGTTAGTGACACAAAAAAAAAAAAAAAAATCAGGATTTTGTGAGACAGATTTGATTTTTCAGAGTTTTACAAATATGTTTAAAACAATTTGAACAAAATTTTTAAACAAACAACATGCTACTGCTTGCATTTGTTTCGTAATAGATTGTATGCACACAACTCCGGTGATAAGGTTAATAAAAATTTATTTTATCAAAATAAACACTTTGGAATTTTCTGCAGGAATACTCGTAGAAGTGTTTACTGTATCACACCATACAATCAGTAGTTACGTTTCAAAATACTAAAAACGTTAAACAAAACGAAATGAAAAGCGCATCGAAAGAGAGAGCTAACTCGGATATATCTCAGCTCACGTGGAACTAACACTCGCAAGAACTAAGATACTGACAGCAGATGCTTTCTCTTCGGCCTTAAATAGTTTTCGACCAACCGCCGAGATATTTCTAGTACTTTCTGCTTCTTGAAATTACTGGAAAGCAATACGAGGGTAGAATTACGGTTGCAGCTAACATAGTGATCAATTACATTTATTCAATTTAAGTACATACTACGGTGATATAGGAATCAAGCTAAAATGTCGCCAAATGGTCATCAAATGTGCCGATTTTTTTGCGATTTCTTGCCCAAAACCATTATCAGCTTGGCGCCATCTCCCCAAATTTCCGAGATACGCATTTCTTCAACGTTAAATGTACTTGCCTTTGTATTCCTACTTTTCAGGCATAGCTTTTTCTTAAAAAATTTTGTTTCGCCTTACAAAAGAACAACAATTTTACTTATAATTCTACTAAAATTACCTACCTAAGTACAAAATACGTAACATTACATTTTCTCAATAAAAAAACAATAATAAAGGTATGTACACCATGATACATGATAATGAACTTTAATGTTCGTAGCATTCAATAAAAATATTAATGAATTCCTAATTTTCTTGATCTAATTCATCGCTCTAGTTGCTCGATATTATTGATTCATACACATGGTTTTCTTCAGCATTTTGTAAGATTATATTGTAATCAGAACATACTATGCCAGCGTTGATACTCAAAGCCTGCCCTAGGTCTCCAAAAGACAAAAAATAATATTCAGATTAACTGCGGAAGCACACTATAGCTGAAAATTCCAGAGTTTTAAAATTAGACATAGCAATCGTCTATCAGTTTTTCTCCCAAGACCGGCATATTATGAGATTTATTACCGATAACCCTAGCTAAAGCTTTCCCTCTCGTTTCAGCACCAAAGTTGCCATTCCAAAACATTCAATTACCAACTGCAGAAATGTAATTTAGTCTTCCCCCCCCTTTACTTCCCTGTATGAAATAAAGTATTGTAATCGCGAATAATTTCGGGTGTCATATTTCAACGGAAATATCCATTTCGACAGCTTCTGAATCCATTTGAACTATTTTTTCTGTTACGTCTTACGAACGCTCAGAATAAAGAACTTTTTTCCCCAAAACGTATCGTAAAAGAGATTTTTTTCGTGTAGTCTCTGTATACATTCGTATATATACAGAAGTCACGAAAAAATCCGTTTTTATACCTACATTTATGTACACCTGTACAGACACGTATCTGCATACACATCATACTTAAATGTATTTATACGAACGTCTGTTCATACACTCACAGGCATACGCATCTCGCATAACTCAAACATAATTAGACACAGAACATTCAAATGTTCTATATGATGCTACTATAACATCTAGTTGTGCACCACCCTTTTTATTCTGCATTTCGACCGCACTAAAAGTACATATGTTACCGTGAAAGACCGAACTTGGAGAATGTCGACTTTCACCGGAGAATGTCAACATTCACCAAATACGCCGGTGAAAGATCGAATGTTGCATTACATTCTTGTACATTCGGACCCTCACCGGTGTAAGTCGACAATCACAGATAGTATGGTCTGGTGTACGTCAAAAGGAGAGGAGTGTACGTACACACTGTCGTTGCAAAAGGAAGTGTTCCACAAATAATTGCAGTTGTAAAAGCAAGGGCCTCTTGTGCAATCCAAAGTGCCATAATAGTTTAAGCTGTTGCAATAAATAAGATTTGAATCACATAATTTAGTAAGCTTTTAACTTCTATTATTTTCCTTTCTCATTTTGAATGTACTGTGTATTTTAAATTCTTATATTCTTAAGTTCTTATTTTAAGTTTCAAATGCGTTTCTTTGCAACTGAATTACGGAGAAGAAAATATAATATTGTTATATGTTCAATTCACCATTAGTACATGGTGAATGTCGACATTGACCGGTGTAAGTCAGAAATAAGAGCATTTGGAAAATATTTCGGACGTACACCAAGAGACTCTGTGAATATTGACATTCACCGGTGAAAGTCGACATTCTCCAGATTTCGGCGTTTCACCGTAACATATACATATAATATTTTGGCAGTCGGGCACATGAATGAAGCTTGGCATGAAATGATGACACAGAAGAAGTTAGCTGTTTTGATTCCACCTCTTTATTCAATTCAAATGGTAAATCATTATTCTAAGATAAGATTATTTTTACGTTTACTACGTCATATTATTCGAACAAAGGGAGGCAGATGAGAAGTGCAGCAGCATAGGTCTCTACAGCAGAAGGAAAAAGCGGTCTCTCTCTGACGCAAAATGGCAAGAGTTCTCTATTTATAGGAGCGGTTACGTAATATGCTCGAATGTTCTCGAAAGTACTGGTCTGGGGGGGGGAGAAATCCTGAAATTACGGAAAGATGTTGCTTGTTTGCATACAGCAAAGCCATAGTGTTTTTTATATTTTACATACATACAGGGTGTTTCATAGATCGTGGGACAAACTTGGATGGGTGGTGGAGCGTACTAAAACATGCATTTTTATAGGAATGTAGGGTCTAAAGTGACGGGTTAAGGCAGGAATGCAATATTTTACCAGTGTATTTTACTCTGTGATTGACGAATATACTCGTCATGGCTCGATTCTGCCTACACAAAACGGTGCGCGCTCTTAAACGAGGGAACCACAGTTAAC